GAGGGGGATGCTGATGGAGGTTTTAAAGTGCTCTTATGTTTGGGAATTTCACGCCTAACTTTGCCATGGAAAGGTGGAGGAAGACAGAGACAGCGCCGTCGTGCAATGTTAGTGGCTGGGGGGGGGGGGGGGGGGAACTGAAATGTAATCAACTAGTGGCACTTCTTACTCCCGGTGGGGGAATAATTCTAGAAATCATTGTTGAAGTGGCTAGGGGAAACATTTTTTATTTGGTTTGACGAAATTATGGATTGAAGCCATTTTCCAGTGCTGCATAATTGCTGCATAGTTGCATGTGTTTGTCAGTACACTTGGTAAGATCCTGAAGGGCAGGATGGGATCGCACTGTGGGACTAGGTAAGGCGAATCCATAGGGCTGCTGTGTGTTGAATCAGATGAAGACCATGTTATTTTAATTTTGCTTGGCAAAAACTCCTAACGCGAGCCACACAAACTGTGCTGAGGTCCCAGGGCTGAAACTTTAAACTGGCTTTGGTCTTACTTCGTCGTAGCTGATTTTTCTTCTTGGTCCTTGGCGCCATAAAGCACGTCATACTTCATGCGGAATGAAAATGCTTAATAATTTTCAGGGCAAGCCTGCCAAACTGACCTACTGCCAAGCAGCAGCTGCCCTCCTTAGTAAAGTTACGGGGGGCCTGCTAGATGGTGCTGTTCGATTTAAATACACTTTGTCTCCCACTCATTATAACAAACAGCTGGAAATGTGAATTCCTCGAGTATAGGTTATTCTGTGCAAAACACTGGTTTGTTCTTAAATCACGGACTCAACAGATCTTGTAGCATCTACTGATGGACAAACGTAACTGGGAATTTAGAAACACCCTCTTCCTCTCTTATCTCCCCCCTCCCTAGCCGTCCTTTCCTTTAATGAAAAATAGAAGAGCCTAAAGCCTTGGTTTATGGTGTGGAATGCCATGATAAACTACATTCCAGAGTATTTTTTTTTCCCATTACATCTTTTAAAGTTTCTTCTTAGTAAATAGGATCACATCATTGCCGTTTTCCTATGCTTTCCTTCTGACATCCAAAAAGCTGTGATTACATTTTCCTTTCTCTTTCCTGTGACATTGTTTTACAGCTGTGCAATGCTTCTCCCAAGGTGATGCACAAGTTCTTGTTCTGCTCAGAAAAGTTGCCGTTGAATTAAATATGCCCACAAAAATACAGCTCTAACTTCTGCGTGAGGTGGTATTAATTTGAAAAACGTGGAGAAAAATATATATGTTTGACTGATACATTAAGTACTTAATCAACGAGAGTGGAGTTGTAATTGTGCTTAATTTTGAAATTTTAGAACAGAAGATGTAACTTAACTCTGTTGTGACTCCTGAAGGTTTTAAATATCTAAAATTTGTCGCCAGCAACTGAGCTCCGAAATACATTTGTAATAATTAAGGAAATAAAATAACACCCCCACCCCCCAAATAATTAATAAAAATCCACTACCTCGGGTTTGGACGGCCTAATTATATGGAACATGTTTCTTTCCCATGGGGATGTGTGCCAGTGACAAGACTAGGGTGTGAAAAGAGTATTTATCAAGTGTGGAAAAGATGTGTGTTGTTCAGATGTTGTTTGTAATCAAGGATGGGATATATTTTACAGACTGATCCTGTGCCAAATACGTTTGCAGTGTGGTATCTTGCTATATGCTGCCTTTAATATTTATGTCCTTTGAGGTTATGTAATTTCTATTAAAATTAACAAGTTTTGCAAGTCATTTACAGTAGCCCTTGGCAAATTCTCAGTTCCAAGGATGGCATTCGTGTTATGGTCTTTCTCTTTGTCCCGCCTGCCTGACCTTTGGGGTAAATTGTCTGTATTACATAGCTTAACAACTCGAGTGAAGTGTAGATAGATGAATTCAGGGGAAAAAAACAATACCTAGTTTTATGTCAGAGAAGTACAGTAGAGCACAGGTAAGTACAATGCTGAAAATGAAGGCACACATTAACTGTGAGATGTGAAGAAGGTGAAGAGAGAAAAATCTCTAGTGTTGTGCCCTTTCCTCCTGTTCTGGAACAGATGTTACTTAATTTTGAGTTCAGGCCATCCCTGTCACGTAAAGGGTAGGAAGAGGAAAGTTGTATTAAGCAGCAGCTTTTTTTTTAAGCATTTTTAAAATGTTTTTATTTTTTCCTTACTCCTTAAAATTGGATTAATTCAGATAAGGAGCTTTGGCCTGTTGACATTTCACTGAATGGTGAAACTAAGTTTTTAATCTGGGAGAAGTAAGGACAGACTGTACAAATTTTACATAGTTTTTCAAGCAGGACTTGCATAGGCATTGTTGAGAGTAGGTTAATGGTTGGACTCAATGATCCTAGAATTCTTTTCCAACCTAAACAATTCTGATTCTATTTGCAAATGGAACTCTGTCTCAAAAGATAAATAATGTTTTAGGTTAGAAAGTAGGTGTATAAAAGTAGTTAAAAAGAACATACAAGAAAAACTGAATTCTGAAGGGATGACATATTTTATGCTCAGTTGTCTTGATCTTTCAGTAGTCTTCTAGAGTAGTCTTTTTTCCCACGATGCCCTTACCTTGTTGGGTCTCAGACCCAGGCATGTGGGTTTTGTTCAAAAACTAACTGAGTGGCTAGAGCCTGCATTTTATGTCCATACAAGAGCATGCATAAGAACATAGAAGCAAGCATGAGAGTTGGTTATTGATTGTTTTTCAGGTCGGTGTGGGAAAGGATGTGGAGAAAGTGACAACACTTGATAGCTGCTGTTGTGTTATTCTTGTTCCATTTTTTTGCATGGCTCTGGTTGTAAATGTCTCCTAAAGTCTGATCTTGGCCAGTTGGTTGGGCATTTTTCTTCTCCATGTTGCTGCTGCTTTGAAGAAGAAAGATGTCTCCTTTGTTGTTTCTTCTCAAGTCTGGTTTGGGTGGTTGGCTGTTCAGATGCAGGCCTCCTTTACATGAGTGGTGTGAGTGCCTGCCTTGATCAATCACTCTTGCCAAATGGGAAAGCGGAGTAAATTGACAAAACTTTTGTCATTTTCTTGTTGATGCCAGTATGCTTTTCTGTAAATAGAGAAAAAACCACCAATGCTTTCCTCATTTGATTCTGCTGCTGTGTAGGAAAACTCAGATTTCTGAGGGCTTTTGAGGATTTGTGGATTTCTAGAGATAGTGGGCTTTTTTTCCTATTTTTCTTGTTTTTTCTTCTTATGGGGTTTTGTATGTGATTTGTGGGTTTTTTTTGATGGCTTGCTTTTTTTCCCCTTCAAATTTGGAAAGACGGTATCGCATGAATTAGGCTACCTATTTCTGCTGTAATGTTTCTAAGCTACATAAAAATAAGACACAGATTAAAATTAGTTGTCTTCAATGATAAATTTACTGCTCGTCCCTGGGAAATGGTGAGCTAGCTTTTCAAGTTTCAGGTGGTGAAGGATATAAATTGACCTCCTCTTTCCCCTCTGAAAACAAAATTGTGAGTTTAATCTGGCCTGTTTTAGAAAATTTAGATGCGACATTTGTACATGGATTTCACCCATCAGGTCAAATGTGTAAAAGTTGCAGGTGAACTGGTCCGTGAGTATGAAAATGACACCTTTTTCATTTTAGAAAAATATAAAGAACATAAAGCCCAGCTCTCTCAGCCTGTCTCCAGAGCAGAGCTGCTCCAGCCCTCACAGTATCCCCGCAGCCTCCTGGACTTGCTCCAACAGCTCCACGTCCCTCTTGTGTTGTTGCCCCAGAGCTGGATCAGGACTGCAAGGGGGGTCTCCCCAGAGCACAGAGAATTGCCTCCCTCGACCTGCTGCTCGCGCTCTGGGGGTGCAGCCCAGCACACAGAGGGGCTCTGGGCTCAAGTGCACACTGAAGCTGGGTCTGGGTCATGGGAAGCTTCTTGTCACTCAACACCCCCAAGTCTTCTCCCCAGAGCTGCTCCATCCAGTCTCCCCCAGCCTGTGGTTGTGCTTGGGACTGCCCTGAGCCATGCGCAGCACCTTGACTTGGCTTTGTTCAACTCCATGAGGTTCACAAGGTCCTATCGGCTCCAGCCTGTCCAGGTCCCTCAGATCCCATCCCTTCTCTCCAGTGTGTTGACCACACCACACAGCTGGGTCTAGCCAGCAAACTTGCTGAGGGTGCACTCATACAGAAATGGTGTTACCATCAATCTAAGCACATCCAAGTACCTCATTGGACTGACAAGAACCTAGGGGAAAAAAAAAATATGATCGGTTTCTGCATTGCTTCCTCTGTACAGTTTTTCTGCTTGCAAAAGGTTTGGTTTGTTCCCCCCTGTGCTTTTTGTTAATGATGAACATTACAGGGTGTCAGATCCCAACCTTCGTGGGCTCTGTAGTGCCGAGCACATTTCTGGTGCTGAAGAGTAAGAACTTCTGGAGCCTGTTCAGACCCACTGGGTACAGGAGATGCACTCTTGACTACAGTGAACATGGTTCAGGCTTGGCTAAGAGATAATTAAATCTTGCTGGAGGAGACAGTAGTTAATAGAAACCAGTATACATTAATAATTCATTTTGCTTAAATTGCAGACATATGATGTCACAAGTGTAAAGTAGCCAAACAAGATTTTCATAACTTTGCCAAACCTAAGTGGAAAATTTACAATGGCATATGTAAGCCTTATGCTGATTTATTTAATTTCTTTGTGTGTAAAAGTTCAGTTGAAATGTTTTGACTTGATTTGCAAATTGGGCAAAGAAAAAGGTGTGTTTTCCAGTGTTTTAAAAGTTCTCACAGCTTCCATCGTGGAAGACCAGTAGTGCCCCTCCCTTTCAAAACACTTGGAATCTGGTTGAAAAGGATGAGAGATTTTATTCCAGGGATGTGTCTTTTTCCGTTTGCACGACAAAGTATCTGAATTTAGCTGGGATACAAGCCTTTTCAAAAAGATCAATTTGCATATGCTAAGGGTTTACTAACTGTAATCGCTGGATATTTCACCTATGCTGGGAGTGCAGCAGATACTGGAGTCAAAGGGCAGCTTGGGGAGGGAAAGTGGGATTGGTCAGTGATGGGAAGGAATGTGTGAATTTGAGGAGTTGGAGCCTGCAGCCCTGAGATGCGAGGACTAGACATAACTGGGATTGGCTCTTGAGGGAGGATGGAGGAGGAGGGGTTGAAGTGGCTGTCTAGAGAGAGAAGACAAAGAATTGCTCTCTAAGGGGCTGGCATTAGCATTGGAGGTCTGGGTGGGATCTGGTGCATCTTGACAAGGAAAATAGACCTGTTGCAAAGCAGAGAGCAGAGCAAAGACAGAGGTGCCTTCAAGGGGATGGGTCAGGAAGTGGAAGGTTTTTGTTATGTTAGGAAGAACATACTGTCCCTCCAGGTACTAGAAAATGACCATTCCTTGGCTGCCAGTAAGTACTTGTGAGGCCAAGAGACAAAATATCTTTGAGATAAAACCTACAAACACGTGTGAAATACTGACATGGCTGAAATGACAGAGAGGTGTATGGTAGTCCTAAGAATTGTAAGTCAGAGGAGATGTCAAAGCTTTGGCAGGGAAAGGTAGGATTTGCCATTCAAAAGCATCTGGAATAGTGTGTTGGTATATGTCTGAGTGCAATGGTTGGGTGCTCTACTTGAATTCTCAATAAAGTGCTGTTAACTTGGAAAACATGGATGTATACCAAGTGTCGTTCTTTGTCCTTATTTGCATGTTCACTGATTTCTTTTTTTTTTTTTTTTCTTTCTTTCTTTTTTTTCCTCT